AGAAGCATCACGGCAAAGTTGTGGGCAACGCTGCTGCTGCATCTGCTGTCAATGCAGGCAATCGCAAGCTCCTCAAGGAGCTCAACTGATGATGTTGACATTGTACATTTCTCCCTTTCCCCTACTTAACTAATTTACAATTTTATTAATGCTAATGCTAATTTATCTCAACACACACAACTATGCACACACTCTTTTACCCCAATACTTGTCACTACACATATCGCCCGCTCAGCTCAGCACACTCTTTAGCGCTCACATATGTTTTTGCCATCGATGCCGTTTTTACCAAGCCCCCACCGGCTCAAAGTGTGTTTTTTACATTAAACTGCGCTCTTATTAATCAGCTTGGAAGGGGCTGCCCGCTTGGCAGTCTCATTTCAGACCATGAAGCTAAACTGTGCGCTTTACTTTTTTCTACTTTTGCTCAACTTGGCCAAACTCTCCACGGCCAATGTTTTGGTTGATGAGGAAGGTACGAATGAGGACAATGGTTTACCGGAGGAAAATGACAGCCAAAGTGGCGGGCNAAAGTGGCGGGCTGACCTGCGCCAACGTGGACGTCTCCCTGGAGGAGGACGACCTGCCCAACTACGACCTCCTGCGACGCTTTCAGCTGGACAGCTCCACGGGAGAAGGACAAGGAGAAGAAATCACCTCTCTGGTGGAGAAGATCGAGGGCACTGGGCCCTCGCAGTCTGCTTATCGTCTGAAATCAGACGCCCAGTTCGCGCTGGCCACCGCCGACCTGCTGCCCGGTGGCCTCCCAGCCCACTTCTCCTTCAGCTGCACCTTCCGAAATGCCCACAACCGGGGTAATCGGTCGTGGACGCTGCTCCGCATCAACGACTACAACGGCGAACCGCAGTTTGGCCTCCGCCTGATGCCTGCCTCAAAAACGGTGCAGCTCTACTCGATGGTAACGGTTGAAGAGAGCAGCAGCCGAGCCAGGCTGGAGCAATTCAACTTCACCGACGTCCCGTACTTTGAGGAGGTGGTTGAAGAGGGCGAAGAAGAGGGCGGCGGCAGTTGGAGCAAGGTGCACCTTTCAGTGACGCCCACCAATCTCTCACTTTACGTCAACTGTCAACGGGTGGGCGGTTTGGAGTTGGATGGGCGTAAACGGCTGGCCACCACCGCCATTGATCTGACGGGTGATGCTTGGCTGGCAAAGTATGATGATGACTTTTCTACGGTTCCGGTAAGTGGGTTTTTAAAAGATAATTTAAATTAAGTTCTTCTTTTTTAACTTTTTCTTTTTTTTGTAGTTGGACATTCAGTGGATGGTGATGAACTGCGACGCCTCGCGGCCGCAACGAGATCGGTGTAGCGAGATTTCGGTCTGTAAAGCGTGGTAGGAAAGCGAAGTGTTTGCCTTTTTTACTGACCAATTTTTTTTCCTTGCAGAAGAGCCAACACAAGCGAAAAAGTTTAATCACCACGACGCTGCTCAAAAGCGAGCCCCGATACGTCGTGGTCACCG